ATCCACACAGAATAATTTCTCGATTGAAAGACGCCTCACAAAGTTGGAGCTGAGGAATAACAAGTGATGCTACAAGAAAGGAAGACAGAATTGGAAGCTTTTGTCATGTTTCGTGAGGAAGAAAGGATGGGATGGAGAAAAGCATAGCTGGTAATCTTTTTTCTCAGTTGAAAGATTTGTTGTGCATTTAATTTATTCAAAATTGAGTAAAATAGTAATTAAATGTACAAAGTATATATATTGAATTATGCTCATGTAAAGATCTAATGTAATATATGGAGGGTTGTTCTATGTTTTCATGTAAACAAAAACAATATATGGGTTGTATGTTATTGTATATATATACACACATTTCTTTTAAATGAGAGTGCATGGGAGCAAGCTGGTTGTCTAAAGTTGTTTCACAAATTACTGTACTTTATTTTAATATTATTTGGCTTTGCCCCCTATATGAACATATTTTTTTTTTCTGAGCTACATAATAAACATAAGTTATGGCCATTGAAGAAGAAAGGAAAAATTATTATGTGCGGACGCCGAATGCCGTTCAAAGACCAACCAGAGCGGGCCACGTCGGTATCGCGGCTAGGTACCGTGGATCAGTATTGCTGATGTGGCTCATTCTGATTGGTCTGAGCTACATTCGGCATCCACACAGAATAATTTCTCGATTGAAAGACGCCTCACAAAGTTGGAGCTGAGGAATAACAAGTGATGCTACAAGAAAGGAAGACAGAATTGGAAGCTTTTGTCATGTTTCGTGAGGAAGAAAGGATGGGATGGAGAAAAGCATAGCTGGTAATCTTTTTTCTCAGTTGAAAGATTTGTTGTGCATTTAATTTATTCAAAATTGAGTAAAATAGTAATTAAATGTACAAAGTATATATATTGAATTATGCTCATGTAAAGATCTAATGTAATATATGGAGGGTTGTTCTATGTTTTCATGTAAACAAAAACAATATATGGGTTGTATGTTATTGTATATATATACACACATTTCTTTTAAATGAGAGTGCATGGGAGCAAGCTGGTTGTCTAAAGTTGTTTCACAAATTACTGTACTTTATTTTAATATTATTTGGCTTTGCCCCCTATATGAACATATTTTTTTTTTCTGAGCTACATAATAAACATAAGTTATGGCCATTGAAGAAGAAAGGAAAAATTATTATGTGCGGACGCCGAATGCCGTTCAAAGACCAACCAGAGCGGGCCACGTCGGTATCGCGGCTAGGTACCGTGGATCAGTATTGCTGATGTGGCTCATTCTGATTGGTCTGAGCTACATTCGGCATCCACACAGAATAATTTCTCGATTGAAAGACGCCTCACAAAGTTGGAGCTGAGGAATAACAAGTGATGCTACAAGAAAGGAAGACAGAATTGGAAGCTTTTGTCATGTTTCGTGAGGAAGAAAGGATGGGATGGAGAAAAGCATAGCTGGTAATCTTTTTTCTCAGTTGAAAGATTTGTTGTGCATTTAATTTATTCAAAATTGAGTAAAATAGTAATTAAATGTACAAAGTATATATATTGAATTATGCTCATGTAAAGATCTAATGTAATATATGGAGGGTTGTTCTATGTTTTCATGTAAACAAAAACAATATATGGGTTGTATGTTATTGTATATATATACACACATTTCTTTTAAATGAGAGTGCATGGGAGCAAGCTGGTTGTCTAAAGTTGTTTCACAAATTACTGTACTTTATTTTAATATTATTTGGCTTTGCCCCCTATATGAACATATTTTTTTTTTCTGAGCTACATAATAAACATAAGTTATGGCCATTGAAGAAGAAAGGAAAAATTATTATGTGCGGACGCCGAATGCCGTTCAAAGACCAACCAGAGCGGGCCACGTCGGTATCGCGGCTAGGTACCGTGGATCAGTATTGCTGATGTGGCTCATTCTGATTGGTCTGAGCTACATTCGGCATCCACACAGAATAATTTCTCGATTGAAAGACGCCTCACAAAGTTGGAGCTGAGGAATAACAAGTGATGCTACAAGAAAGGAAGACAGAATTGGAAGCTTTTGTCATGTTTCGTGAGGAAGAAAGGATGGGATGGAGAAAAGCATAGCTGGTAATCTTTTTTCTCAGTTGAAAGATTTGTTGTGCATTTAATTTATTCAAAATTGAGTAAAATAGTAATTAAATGTACAAAGTATATATATTGAATTATGCTCATGTAAAGATCTAATGTAATATATGGAGGGTTGTTCTATGTTTTCATGTAAACAAAAACAATATATGGGTTGTATGTTATTGTATATATATACACACATTTCTTTTAAATGAGAGTGCATGGGAGCAAGCTGGTTGTCTAAAGTTGTTTCACAAATTACTGTACTTTATTTTAATATTATTTGGCTTTGCCCCCTATATGAACATATTTTTTTTTTCTGAGCTACATAATAAACATAAGTTATGGCCATTGAAGAAGAAAGGAAAAATTATTATGTGCGGACGCCGAATGCCGTTCAAAGACCAACCAGAGCGGGCCACGTCGGTATCGCGGCTAGGTACCGTGGATCAGTATTGCTGATGTGGCTCATTCTGATTGGTCTGAGCTACATTCGGCATCCACACAGAATAATTTCTCGATTGAAAGACGCCTCACAAAGTTGGAGCTGAGGAATAACAAGTGATGCTACAAGAAAGGAAGACAGAATTGGAAGCTTTTGTCATGTTTCGTGAGGAAGAAAGGATGGGATGGAGAAAAGCATAGCTGGTAATCTTTTTTCTCAGTTGAAAGATTTGTTGTGCATTTAATTTATTCAAAATTGAGTAAAATAGTAATTAAATGTACAAAGTATATATATTGAATTATGCTCATGTAAAGATCTAATGTAATATATGGAGGGTTGTTCTATGTTTTCATGTAAACAAAAACAATATATGGGTTGTATGTTATTGTATATATATACACACATTTCTTTTAAATGAGAGTGCATGGGAGCAAGCTGGTTGTCTAAAGTTGTTTCACAAATTACTGTACTTTATTTTAATATTATTTGGCTTTGCCCCCTATATGAACATATTTTTTTTTTCTGAGCTACATAATAAACATAAGTTATGGCCATTGAAGAAGAAAGGAAAAATTATTATGTGCGGACGCCGAATGCCGTTCAAAGACCAACCAGAGCGGGCCACGTCGGTATCGCGGCTAGGTACCGTGGATCAGTATTGCTGATGTGGCTCATTCTGATTGGTCTGAGCTACATTCGGCATCCACACAGAATAATTTCTCGATTGAAAGACGCCTCACAAAGTTGGAGCTGAGGAATAACAAGTGATGCTACAAGAAAGGAAGACAGAATTGGAAGCTTTTGTCATGTTTCGTGAGGAAGAAAGGATGGGATGGAGAAAAGCATAGCTGGTAATCTTTTTTCTCAGTTGAAAGATTTGTTCGTAATCTGCGCCGGAAATAATCCAGAGCCCTTTTCACCGACGTAATTTCCGGCGCAATGGACGCGGGTAAATTTCCGGCGTCAGTTCCGCCGGAAATAACGCCGTAAACTTTACGTCGCATCATTCCGCCGGAACCTGCGCCGTCAATGCCGGCGCAAAAATATCCGCCGGAAATTCCGACGGTAATCGCGTGTTTTCCCGTAGTGTGAGTATCACTTTCAACTTCAGCAAAATAAGATATTAGAAATTTGCCACCAAGCTAAGTTTAGTGAACAAAAGAACAATATCAATTATGGCTTCATTTGGGATATTTTTCCCTTCTAATACTTGATTGAAAGATGAGAATTAAAACATAAAATTTTATTACCATTTTTAATATGAAGGCTCTCGATAACTCCTTGTAATATGGGTATGCTCATGTTCATCTAATGCTCATTCTAATAAAATTTTATGATTAGAATTCTCTAGTCTATTTTTATAAAACACATTCTTATCTAGCTTAATACATAATCAAAAGACAAGAACATCTGATGAGAATTAAAGTGGAAAATTTCATCGCCATCTTTTATGTGAATGCTCTCGATATCCAAGCAACATGGAGATGGAAATGTTGATGTAGTGCTCCACCCTAATAAAATTTTGTATTTTGGAAAATTATCAAATTTTCACATGAGCAATGCTTCCATCTTCAAATTTTACTTTTGAGAAATATAATAGGAGACTACACCTTCCACCTAAAATATATTAAACTCATCTATCAATAATTGTAGGACAATATCTGTTTTTTTCTTCTTTTTTTTTTTTTCTTTTGGATTGTGTAGATAAAAAATAAGAACCGTGAGAAATATGTATAGAATCATCATGAAAATATTAGGAAGGAGATTATAATGAGTAATTATTACTGATCAATATAAGTCTTGTGAGCGCTTGATCAAAACTTTGTTTGGGACAGTTTTTAAGTGCTTTCTAAAGCAGATTTCTAGTTCAAGAACTTTTGTCATAAAAAGCTATTTTAAAAAGTAGTAAGAAAGTTGTCGCAAACAAAGCCTACATGAGTTCAAATCTTCAACATGCATAAGCCAAATTCAACATTTATTTATACATTGAGTGTTCTACATAATTAAAGAAAAGTATGCTAAATTTAAAAACATGCTTATAAAATTACTAATGATGCAAGGAAATCATCAATATTTTTGTTTTATATAGAGCAGCCTAAATGTGCACAAATAATCTCCTTAGTGATTAATGGAGAAGAAAATAAAGACTGATTTAAATTTATCTTAAAAACTTATATTTTTGAATTTTGTATTTATCTTGATTAAATAATATATTGAGATGAATCCTAAAAAAAGATGTTATTGAGGCAAAGATTTTGAATTATGAGAATGAAATATTACTTCATCAAATCTTAGCTTTTAAATCATTTTAGCATCTCGCAAGCTAATATAGAAAAAAAAAAAAAAAATTCAGAAGTCTTCATAGCTTCAACTAAACAAAATGTTCTGGTTAATATAGATTAAAACATTTATTACTTTCTTGATTTATCTAGAAATGGCATAACATGACATACAAAAAGGGTACAATAATCAAAAGTATACTCAAGTTTAGAATTGAATATGCTATGTTACATGTAGAGGCTAAGACCTTTTCATATATGATATTTTGTAATGAAAGTTCATTTGTCTTTGTAAGCATGCATATTGCACCCTTATGAAGTTCTTTGTCTTAAAAAATAGGAATGAAATATACAACTATGACTATTGCCATTGATGAAAGTGTGGTACTCATAGGAATGCATCCTTTATCATTCCTAAAGAATGAGGCTTGAAAGATGGTAAAATTTAAGAGGATCAAAGACCCACACAACAATAATTGCAAAAACATATGATCCAAATATCCAATTCCTTCATTCATTATCACTTTTATGATTCCTCCAACCAGGCACAAGAGGTTAAGCATTGCTATTGTACACAATATTGTAAACATTGGCGAAGTAGAGCCAAACTCCATAATCTCTTTCTCATACCTCTTATATGCCTCTTCATCAGCCACCTTTGGTGTAATAACAAAGGTTGAATCAATGAAACCCAATAGCTTTAGGATAGTATCTACTAAAGCAAATAGGTCTGAAGTTGTTCTTCTATATAACCACATTCTTGTATCATTCCACCAACACTTTAATGTTAGTCCATGAAGAAGTGACTCCCAAATGCTAACAACAGTGCTAAATGTCATCACAAATGCAAATGGCATGAACCAAAGGCTAGAAACCTGCATATGAACATAATATAACAAAAAAATAGCCTAAGAAAAAAAAATATATAGAAGCGTGTAATTACAGAAGGAGAGAGATGGGATGTTGTACTTACACTTGGGAATAAAAATATTCCATTTATGAGGCAAATAGAAGGGATGAAAATATAGATAAGAGTTGGAATTGAGTTGATAGCCCAAAAGCAGCAAATGCTATAACCCATTTGAAGGCCAAGCTTTGTTTTTCCAAAACCATAAAGGAAGGGACAAAACTTGGAGAGTAGAATTTGAAAATAACCTTCAGACCATCTCTTGTGCTGTATTAGTGCCTGAGAGAGTGTCGTTGGAGCAAGACCAAGGAAAGGCTCTCTTTTTGGACTGAAATATGCTGATTTCCAACCTCTACATTTAATGGAGAATCCAGTCATCACATCTTCAACAGGACATCCATACTTCAAACCCATCTGCACTCATAATTAATTAATTAATTAATTAATGTGATAGCAAGTTAAAACTTACATTTAGAATGCAAAGATAAGTATTCATACAAACCTCTTTTCCCCATTGTGTGTTCTCTTCATAGGTGCAAGATGCAAGATTCTTGATTCTTTCTTCTAAAGTAATCATATTTGTTTCTTGAATCTTTGGGTTTTCCCTCTTTAGCTCAATTTTATTTAGTTCACTGTATTTTCTCCCATTTAGACAATCTCTCCTATGGAAACAACATGAACCTGTGTACATTGGGCCTCCTAACCCATCTAGCCCAGGAAAATATACCTTCAAAGTCAATGAATTTGATAGAGATTAGGTTTTAAGACTAAGTGAGATATAGAATTAATAAAAACTTACATTTTAAAATGCAAAGATAAGTATGCATACAAACCTCTTTTCCCCATTGTGTGTTCTCTTCATAGGAGCAAGATGCAAGATTCTTGGTTCTTTCTTCTAAAGTACTCATATTTGTTTCTTGAATCTTTGGGTTTTCCCTCTTTAGCTCAATTTTATTTAGTTCACTGTATTTTCTCCCATTTAGACAATCTCTCCTATGGAAACAACATGAACCTGTGTACATTGGGCCTCCTAACCCATCTAGCCCAGGAAAATATACCTTCAAAGTCAATGAATTTGATAGAGATTAGGTTTTAAGACTAAGTGAGATATAGAATTAATATCTTTAAATAATGCAAGTTTTAACGACCCTTTTTGTTGCTTAATATATTAGAGTGCTCTCATAAATTGAGCATAAAAGTGTTTGTGGTGATTTTTGCTTCTTTCATATAAAAATATAAACTTCTTAAAGTTTTACAATTGTAAGGGCCTACCTTGTGAATCATTTTGAAGGAGCTTGCATATAAGTCTTGCTGGGTGAGGTTTTCAAAATTATGAGGAAATTGCACAAAAGCATACTCATGGCCTCTCTCTTCATCCATGAAGAAGCATAAAGCATCTCTGATTGATTCAACATTATTAGCACACATATCACAATCAATTGTGAGAATGATTGATCCATTGCTTATTTGCTCAGAAATTCTCAACTGTGTGTTCAAAAGTGATCTAGTTAGTTAAGGATAAAAGATTGACAATAATTAAAAAATAGGTCCAAAATACCAAATAATCTGGTATTTACTTGTAGATGGGTTTATTATAATGTACATATGAGAAAAGCAAAATTCAATAGCTTATTCTACCAATGCATTTAGAGCTCCAGCTTTAAAATTAAGTTGATATTTTGGATGTTTCTCACGAGCCATGTAAACAATAGTTGGCATTGCAAATCCTTCGAAGTCTCTAGCATTTTGATCTCTTCCATCAATTAGTATCTAAGAAAGGAAGAAGATTGGTTCACAAGTTGCTAACATAGTTTATTCTTGAAATTTCATCTCTTTAAAATAACTTTATTGTTTGCCAATTTGTAGAAATTTATCATAAAAAAAGTTGTATAAAAGTATCACACCTTGATAATGGCATGGTGATCATTAGAAGATGTTTTGGAGCTCCAGTTTGTAAAGCCTTCATGACCTGCTTTAATCTCATTTGAAATGTCACCAAGTTTCATTGATGCTTCAATTCGACTCTTCATTTCTTTGTACAATTTCTACATTAACAAATGAATTTGAAGATAAATAGAAAGTGCTAAAAAAGTATTTGCACTTGCAAAATTCTGAAGAAGTAAATTAAAAAAGCTTACTTCCATAGCTACCCATTTTGAGAAACTTGGATCATGTATTGGAATTGATGATTTTGAAAAGAAGAGCGAAGGTGCCATATACTTGACATTGAACTTCTTGCAAAAAGGGATCCATGATTTTGCAAATAGAGATGCCTCAATCATCGCATAGAATGTTAAGATTGAACCACCATCATCAGATAAATAAACATTTAGTTTCTCTGGTGGATAATCATAGGCCAGAACTGATAAAACTGTGTTGATGACTACTATGGGGGGTTCAATGGTGGGATCCGTAGTACATATAAAAACATCTATTGCTGGCAGTTTGTCTTCAAAACTATCAAAGTTCATTTCAAATTATAGTTAGACTTTAATCAAGAATGTATCGGAGATGAATTTAGAACTTCTCGTGCTCAAAAAACTTCTCTGACAATATCTGCATTACAATCAAGATCATAATATATATAATACTTAATATTCATCAAACTAAAAATATCCTTCACATAAAAGGATTTTTTTTTTTTGAGACATTTAGGCTAATTAAGACAAACTCACACACACAACACATACGTAAGACTTGAACCGAAAATCCCTTAGTTGATAGCCAAAACTCTCAACCAGCCGATCAATATGAACTGCGTATAAAAGGACACTCAATAATCAAACCCAAAGTCTAATAAAATTTCTAATGAACTAAGCACACATTATATTGGTCAATTTTATCACACCTTTTCCTAGATAGACGACCAACATGAAGGATAACATATAAACAAATGGGTGTGCATTCAACATTATTCTTATGGACACAATACGACAGAACCTCATCAGGCCAGGTAATACCTAATATTCTAAAGAAAACAAGATTGTCACTTAGTACAACAAGTAGCTAAGAATATATGAGGTTTTGGATTTCTCTTTTCTTGTTAAAGAAAGGCCAAAACTATCTTGATGGAAAAAATAAGTTTTGTAATGAACACGACGTTCAGGCCACTTCACGAAATTGAAAAAAAAAAAATAATAAATAAATAAAAATTGGTTGAACACCGAAGCCGCCAAAGAAATATTAAACTGTTAAGTAAAGAAAAATTGTTTAGAAACTTTATAAAAAGATAGATAATACGTGACATTAGTCGTGAATAAGTTAGCCGAGCCGGCTCGAGCTCACGAGTTCATGAACTTATAGAGCCATGAATTTGGCTCATATTTGAGCTTGTATATTAAACGAGTTCAAACTCAACCTGACTTGACTCATTGAACCGTTTGATTAGTTTAAAATAAATTTAGATTTAGAATTAAAAAAATCAATTTTATATTAAAATAAAAATTCTTCACATAAATTAAATTAAAAAAAACATTAAATTTAATCGTTAAATGAACCAACTGACTTAAATGCTTGATTACATTGCTAAACAGTTTCACATAATCTAAGAGGATTTAACTATTATCTCGCCAAACCATTTTTAGGGGCTGTTTGGTATCGGATTTATCCTGGGATTTAAGTCGGATTTACGCTAAATCCAGCCAAACGGTTTTTGTGCGCGCGTTAAATCTCAGGATTCCGTAAATCCCGGATTTATGGATTTACGGCTTAAATCCCGGATTTACTAAATCCCTCGGTTCGGTGGATTTAACGGGATTTAACATTAGAAGCGCACGAAAGGGAGAAAGTTACCTTCAGAGCCAGCGAGCTCCTGTTCTTGCTTCCGATCAAAATGTCGTAACTTCCGATTTGACAAGAAGGGAAAGTCGTCGAAGGAGCGGAGTCGAACAGCCACGAAGGAACCGAAGTAGCGACGCGCACAATCTGTACACCTCCTGCGAATCAACGAAGCCGAACAACAACGACAGCAACACGAAAAGAAATGATGAAATACAAACCCTAGACGCCTCAAAGTTATTATCCATTAACTTAATTTATATAATTTAAACAAATAATAATTAAGTTATTTAATTAAATATTAATAGTAGAATTAGTGCATAAATTAATTATCTAATTTAACTTAATTGATTAATTAATGATATAATTATTAATTAAATATTAATATAATTAGCTTATTTAATATTTCAACTCTTATTTTGGTCCATATTAGTTTGTAATTAACTTTTTATTGAATTTTTGGTCATTTTATATGACCTAAAATTGATTTTATTATATTTTATGCAATGATCTTAATTTCATAAATATCTTCTTTAAACTTAAATCCCTAACCGCCATAAATCCTGATATATGTTACCAAACAGTTTCTCAAGATTTAACAAGATTTAACATTTAACATACCAAACAGTTTTTAGGATTTAACACATTTCGGATTTACTAAATCCGGATTTACAGGATTTATTAAATCCCACTAAAGTTAAATCCCACTTGTTGCCAAACAGCCCCTTAGGATTTAACAAATTCAAGATTAACTAATTCCAGATTCACAAAATTTATTAATCCATACTAAAATTAATTCCTAGTTGCTTCCAAACAGCCCATAATAAACAGAAATTACAGCGACCTTCGAGACTCGGGTTTGAATATAGCTTACATCCACAAATATGGGTGAGAGAGAGAGAGAGAGAAAAAAAGAGGGAAGGGGAAAGAGCCAGAGAGAAAATAATGAACAAAATATGATCAAAACAGAAAATAATGAACAAAATATGATCAAATATCGATTCAGGAAAATTTTTAAGGTAAACTCATCTAAAAAATCTCTCTTTAGAGAGAGAAACAGAAAGGGTACCTATGGGAGAGCTTGTCCTTGTAAGTATAGCGGTAAATCGGGTTCCAGCGAATGGAGAGTGTGAGAAACCAATAGAAGCCGAACCATAGCTCGGCGGCGAACACCGCCGTCCACGCCCACCTCCCCTTTTCTCCGGCCTCCGGCACGTGCGAGGCCCTGTACACCCAAATCAGAAGCAACCCCAGTAGCATTGAACCCGCGTACAACCACTTCCACGCCCTTCCCTTCCCTACTTTCACCTCAAATAGACGGCCCTCCGTTGTATCCATCTCTACTTCTCCCTCTCTTCTTCCCTTTCTTTCTGCCTCCTTTTTTCCTTTCTTGAGTTTAATAACTTCAGGCCCATTAATTATTTTTTTAAAAAGCTTTGTTTTGAGGCATGTCATGCACCAATTAGATATCCGAAACTCATCCACATAATTGAGTCGAGCCAACAAAAAAAAAACCTGCAAGTTGAGTGGGCCCCGGGACCATAAGCTTAATTAATATGTGCTCGTCAGTCGTTTTGTATTCCTTAAATAATTCTGGAAAAACTTTATGTCAATATATTCTCATACAGTCAATATGAATTTAAATATCATTGTATTTAGTTTAAGATTAATAATTTAAATAAAAAAAAATTATATTTTACTAATTTTAAATTAAAGTTAAGTCCATCATGATATAAATTATATCAACTGTGTTATTATAAGTTTTCTCAAAGATATATTTATATATTTCCATTTTCCACACTCTAATTTACAAATAAAACACTTTCCATTCACATGAGCACTTGATTAGGGGTGTTAGTGAGTCAACCAACTCGTGAGTCGGATGGAGACCGACATGATTGATGGCGCTTCAGTAGAGCTCAATGGGCTAAAAAGCCAAGTTTGAGCCTCAACTCGACAAATTAGCTCGCAAGTTTTCTCATTTAAAAAATATTAATGATAAAATACTATTCATATGTCACCAAAAATTAGATCCAACACAAATCTCAAGGCATATCTTAATTGAAAACTTTCAAAGTTAAATTCAGAACCATCTGAACTCCAATTTCAGCAAACGTAAAGTCAAATTGAACGTCTAGGTAAGACGAATCCAACAACATCAAAATTGATCTAATCCGATCCCAAATGTGTTCAAATCAAGAGCTTAAAGTATATTTAGAAGCTCAAAAGCATTAATTAGAAGACCAAATGATATCTAAACATGACATGCTTATAATCAAATCGAGTGGCTAGACAAGACAAATCCAACGAGCTTAAGATTGCATCATGTTGACATCTTTAAGGAACATAAATGATAGATAGATACTTAACGATCGAGGGAATCAGTATTAGTTGTTCAATGGAGCACTTGAAAATTACCTTGATTCTTCTTCATATTTACTAGAATGACAATTTCAAAATTTATAAATAGTCCCCCTATTTGCACATGAAGAGGGAGATTTGACCATTGGAATCTTAGACCTTGGGCAAGAGATCAAGAGAACTTTAAGGCTTGAAGAATCATAGAACTCCACCCTGACACCATGTCACGATCCGGCTCGGTTAGCTCGTAGATACGAGGCGGGAACGAGATCAGACGCGAAATTTATTTCTCATCAACAATTCCATTTAATTTTTTTTTAGCTAATCAAATAAATAGAGCACCTCTACAACATTATCATAACACAAGTCTATCAAAATGTACAAGATGGCCATATAAATTGTTTTTTACACAATTTCTGCATGCCATCCAAAATAACAAAAATAACTACAACATCTACTACTACTAAAGACAGTAAAGGAACCTGTCACCCGGTAAGCGTCGTCTGTAAGTAAACCTCGGGTGATCAGCCATCACCTAAGAGTCGGGTCTCCTGAAAAATTTCCCAAAACTAGGGAATGAGCTACGCTCATGTTGACCCCTATACATCAGAACACGCGAGAAAGGACTCAAACTCGTAAATAAAGCAATATGTGCATTGATGAAACACGTCACTTAAGGGGTCACATGATGTTTTAATTGTTATAGATTTTTGTTAGACTGTTACATTGATGTTATAGATAGCTCTGGTAATTGGTTATGATGAATTGATTGAAATTCTTTTCAAGTTAGATCTTGGGGCGTGACACCTCTAACCTCCGTCTCCCACCAACTACGATCTTTCCAACCATCGTCGCCGCGGACTACGATCCCCATGACTTCTGTTGCCCTCCAGTTACAGTCCATCTAATCACAATCGCCCACTGGCTACGATATATACCTCTGACCTCTGTCGCCCGCCAACTATGGTCCCTCCGACCATCGCCTGTCAAATATGATCCCCCCAACCTCTATCAATATCTGCCAACTATGGCCTGTCCCTTAGACTATCGTCTCCCGCCAACTACGGTCCCTCCGACTACTGTCACCCGCCACCTACAGACCCTTAGACCACTATTGCACGCAAACAATGTTCCTTTCAACCTCTGTCACTTATAGAATATGGTCCCTCCGACATTCGTCGTATGATAACCCTTAATATTTTTAAAAAGTTTTTTTTACCTACAATAGTTAAGAATTATTTCAAGAGTCACTATAAGTCTAAATCATAAACCGTCTTCACCATAGTATATATATTATTGTATTTTAGTTCCACTAATATTTTCATAATTTTTGGACTTATGTGAAGTTCCTTCAATAATTGGGATTTGTATATATGTACAAATGAGAATTTTGAGACCATTATGTGTCAGTTTTACAATCCAATTTCACCTGATAATTTATGAATATTTTATACAATTTTTGAATCTTTAGAATTTAAGATATAAAAGAATTTTAGGTTAAAAATTAAATAATCGGTATAATTATCTAAATATCTTTTTAATATCGTATTATAAA